CAATGTGGCAACTAGATTATCATTAATATGTAGGTCTTTTTTAGTTTCCTAATTCTCCGGTAAGTCTATTTTTCTAGTTTTTGAAATTGTGAATTGCAGATTTATGAATTTTTATGTTTTAAAAATTGATTATTATTAGTTACTCAATGTTTTGCTAAATCAGTGTTGTTGTGTTTTTTATTTATTGAATGAAAGTGCTCTGAGATGCTTTTCTTAGTGGAACTGTTACTTTGTCCTATATATAATGCATAATAAGAATTACAGAATAATTGATCATACAAATGCTGAAATTGAAATATTGACTTTTTTGTTAGCAATGTGGCAACTAGATTATCATTAATATGTAGGTCTTTTTTAGTTTCCTAATTCTCCGGTAAGTCTATTTTTCTAGTTTTTGAAATTGTGAATTGCAGATTTATGAATTTTTATGTTTTAAAAATTGATTATTATTAGTTACTCAATGTTTTGCTAAATCAGTGTTGTTGTGTTTTTTATTTATTGAATGAAAGTGCTCTGAGATGCTTTTCTTAGTGGAACTGTTACTTTGTCCTATATATAATGCATAATAAGAATTACAGAATAATTGATCATACAAATGCTGAAATTGAAATATTGACTTTTTTGTTAGCAATGTGGCAACTAGATTATCATTAATATGTAGGTCTTTTTTAGTTTCCTAATTCTCCGGTAAGTCTATTTTTCTAGTTTTTGAAATTGTGAATTGCAGATTTATGAATTTTTATGTTTTAAAAATTGATTATTATTAGTTACTCAATGTTTTGCTAAATCAGTGTTGTTGTGTTTTTTATTTATTGAATGAAAGTGCTCTGAGATGCTTTTCTTAGTGGAACTGTTACTTTGTCCTATATATAATGCATAATAAGAATTACAGAATAATTGATCATACAAATGCTGAAATTGAAATATTGACTTTTTTGTTAGCAATGTGGCAACTAGATTATCATTAATATGTAGGTCTTTTTTAGTTTCCTAATTCTCCGGTAAGTCTATTTTTCTAGTTTTTGAAATTGTGAATTGCAGATTTATGAATTTTTATGTTTTAAAAATTGATTATTATTAGTTACTCAATGTTTTGCTAAATCAGTGTTGTTGTGTTTTTTATTTATTGAATGAAAGTGCTCTGAGATGCTTTTCTTAGTGGAACTGTTACTTTGTCCTATATATAATGCATAATAAGAATTACAGAATAATTGATCATACAAATGCTGAAATTGAAATATTGACTTTTTTGTTAGCAATGTGGCAACTAGATTATCATTAATATGTAGGTCTTTTTTAGTTTCCTAATTCTCCGGTAAGTCTATTTTTCTAGTTTTTGAAATTGTGAATTGCAGATTTATGAATTTTTATGTTTTAAAAATTGATTATTATTAGTTACTCAATGTTTTGCTAAATCAGTGTTGTTGTGTTTTTTATTTATTGAATGAAAGTGCTCTGAGATGCTTTTCTTAGTGGAACTGTTACTTTGTCCTATATATAATGCATAATAAGAATTACAGAATAATTGATCATACAAATGCTGAAATTGAAATATTGACTTTTTTGTTAGCAATGTGGCAACTAGATTATCATTAATATGTAGGTCTTTTTTAGTTTCCTAATTTCCCGGTAAGTCTATTTTTCTAGTTTTTGAAATTTTGAATTGCAGATTTATGAATTTTTATGTTTTAAAAATTGATTATTATTAGTTACTCAATGTTTTGCTAAATCAGTGTTGTTGTGTTTTTTATTTATTGAATGAAAGTGCTCTGAGATGCTTTTCTTAGTGGAACTGTTACTTTGTCCTATATATAATGCATAATAAGAATTACAGAATAATTGATCATACAAATGCTGAAATTGTTATTATATTTGATATTATCAGTATTATTAGATATTCTTATGTATGAAGTGATTTTGTAACCTTCTTTTTTAATTTATTCATTAAACTGCTATTTGTAAGGTCGACATTGTGTCCGTTTTTAAAGCCATGTATGCATGTATGTATTTAATACGTAAGGTGCAGGCCATTGTTAAAATTTTCAGGAGAGTGTGGTATACTGATTAGTGTTTGCGTCAAACAATGGAAAACTATCATTTTCATAGATATTATTATAGATTAGTACTACGTCTGTGGTAGGTTTCAAATTTAATTTTTCCGAACATAGTTCAACTAATATTCATTTTTCAAATATCAAAAAGAATCAAAAATTGTACACACTGACTTTGCAAAAAGTAAAACATAAGTTGGAGATTGTGAATTAGGTGAGGCTTCTGACTTTTGATTTTTAATTCACTAAAACGTAGGTTGCAGTTTGAGTAAGTATTTCCAAAAAGTAACCGTACTGTCTCTTGAGGATAGGCGTTAGGGTCGAAACAATTTTGTGAAGATAAATAAACAGTAAAGGGTACTGAAAAGCGTTTTATGTTTTTTTAAACATTTTTGTGGACTTGCCCAGAATGCCTTTGACTTTCTTGTACTTTTATTACCAAATACATTTCCTGATGTATGCTATACCTAATACTGAGAAAACTTAACTACTATAGCTACAATAATATTTTATTCATGTCTATTTTGTAATAGACAAATGGGTGATGAGATTTATTAAAAGAATTTGCTTGAACTTTAAAACGGTTTCTCTTGTTTGAAAAGTGAATCAGTAAGTCCAGAAATACCTGCGCTTCGAGCAATTCGTAATTGGCAAAGGTGAAGTAAGGTAAGGGGAAATGTCAAGGCAGGCCGACCAGTTATACTCTCACTACTTTGAAATGCAGTTAGTCACAAAAGTATTTTTACTAATAAATACGAGCCCATTAATCGAAAAATGTTTTAACTATTAAAAGGCCATTAGATTTTTCGATAAAAATTCGACTCATCATCACCGCCTTTTTGTTTGAAATACAAAATACCTATGATGTGTGAGATAAGTAAAAGACAGTTGTATACAAGTTTAAACCTAGAGACACTTAAGTAAGCGATTCTAATCATCAACAACTGGCCGCTAGTTTAATATGTACCGCAACAATCGATATCACAATATAACAATGTGTAGTCAAGTATTTTTTACTTTTTTCGGTAACTAATAACTACAAAATACCGCAACCGTAGTTCAACTTTTTCTTAATGTCATTTTATACGTTATCAATTCAATTGTTGTTAATTGCTAGGTAAAGTGGAAATGAAATGAAGTATTAAAAAGTGCCGAAAAAAACAATTGTAGTTTAACTGTTGTTACGTCGTCATTTTTATTGTTAGATACAATAGAAATGAGGTAGATATAAAGGCATTTGTCACTCGACAGTACTGAAGAGTGCTAATAAAAACCTTAGTTTGGCACTCTATAGTTATCGTTTATAAAAAGGTGTTAACACAAACCCAAAAATTCTAGCTTGACTGTCACATAATATTACTATGCATTATAAATTCTATTATTGCCAATTGAGAAATAAAATAGTGGCATAATCTCATAAACATTTAGTACTCAAGTACTCTAAAAAGTGCCGATTGCATAACGTCATTCCTTGGTTATCAGAACTTAATTGTTGGTAATTATCAGTTATTGAAATACATATTAGATCTCAATGGTGTTTGGCATTTTACAGTTAAAAAAAGTAGATAAATACTTACAACAAACTCAAAAATTTTATGTTTTATTGTTGCATAGTCTTGTTACACACTTCATCAATTTTATTACTGTTAGAATATTTGGATTATCATTTGGCACGCTTTAGTGATCAACACCCTGAGTTTAGGGTGTACTGTTAGTTTTCTTCTTTAAGTACAAATTAATTGATATATGTACCCAACTTACTGTTATCTTTATGTTTGTGTGACGATCTGTATATCAGGTATATTATGCGTTTAATTGTGGATTTCGTTACTATGAGACAAGCCCAACAAAATGGAAATTATCTGGTTCCAACATGCTTACAGGTATTAACCAAGCATCGAAGTTAGATAAACATTTGTCAATTTATTCATAGGCTAATCAGACACGTCTGATGATGATATTCCATGTACCTACCTAGGCATTTTTGTTCGGAACACCTGTCCATGTATCTTTAAACACCAATTTCGATATGATTGTGTTAATCGTAGGAGAGACGCCGACAAAAGTATGTCTCTATATTTACGTAGATTTGAATAAACAAAATCGGGGTTGAACAGCCTCAAAATATTGAAGTCATTAGTAGATAAGTAAATACTAAGACAACATTCTTTCGGGGTTATTTCAGGATTATTTTCAATAGATGTTTAGGATATTAACTCAAATTCCTGAACAATAAAATATGCACAGTTTAAATACTTAGCAAAACTTATTGAAAGATTTTTTCTTAAAAAATCAATTAGGCCATATATTTTTAAATTATTTATTTAATCAGATATTTAAAAAGATATGTAATTTATTATCTATCTATACACAATATTAATCTGTTTTCAATCATATCACACCTGTACAGCAGTTTAAAGTAATTAGTCGCTACCCTTTAATCAAATATTGCAAAACTTTGGCCAAAAATTATTGACAAACTTTCTCTTTCCAATTTCACTTCACGTATAGATGCATACGTAGACATATAGTGGAATTTAATTACGAAATCGAAAGTTGTTATTACCAAATTATAAATAACAATTAGAAAATCTGTAGTACATTCCAATCATATTCGTATTCTTACAAAAAGGTAACATTCGTATAATAAATATTCATAATAATAATTAAGATTGTTTTACTTTCGTTGTTAAATTGTCCGAAAAGCAATTTTAAATTCCATTTTCTTTACTGTCGATGTACGCAATTGGTATGTTCCCGAGGAAATTATAATACAATGAGTTTCAAACTTTCAGTTTTTCGACAGTCACACGAGTGAATAAATGTGTTCATTTTCTACACCTATTATTTTAATTGCAATACACTTGCAAAACTGCTTCCAGTACGCAAGCCACTTTCTCTTTCGATCGCATCGTATCTCTTTCTAGCACTCGGTCCGTCTTCGTCACACCCGTTTTAATGATGCTTAACATCCTTCGATTTCGCTTTCAGAATAAAGTTCGGTATCTTGACGCCGAGCCCGCAATAGTAAGGATTCTCGTATTTGTCCTCCTTGCTGTTCTTTTTCTTCTGTTTATTTTTAGCATCGGAAGTCTGGACGCTTTTAGGGTCAACGTCTTCGTAGTCCGGTTCTGGAATCTTAAACGGCAACATATTGTCCCTTGGTGGTAATTTCGGGGGTCTGTCCGTCGGCCTGGGTCTCGACATCAGCGATTGACCACCGGACCTGAAGTACAACTCTCTCGGTTCCCTCGGAACTCCAAAATTGCTGCCGTTCGGCATGACTGGTAATCTGAAGTTTGCATACGAATTAACATTTCCTATCATACTGTAAGGATCTTCGTCGGGGTTGAGCAAACGGGGCCTCTGTTTGACACCTCCCGTCTTGTAGTACGGCGGTACCTTAGACTTTAACATTTCTAATGCGACTATATTTATCACCAAAATCCACACGGGGCAGTCCAACACGTCGGCACTGTCTTTAACAAAAGTTACGGCGTTGAGACACTGAAACTCCAACTTCTTACGATCGGGATATGCACTTCTGAGTTCTTGGTTAACGTTACTGTGGAATTTTTTCATATCGAAAAGTTTGAAGGGTTTGACAGGTTCCAGGGACCATCCTGGCAGGTCGACAATGTCTTTTCCTAAGGCGTTGTCACCTCCGTCGGTGGTGTCTTTGACATAGACGTTACCTCTGGAGAGACGCTTGATGAGAATGTTGCCCGATTCGTCCATCTTGATCTTCACCCCATGGCCTATGTGCAACTTGATCTCTTCGGTTTTCCGATCTCGAAATGGATTGTCGAAACCGCACAATCCTATCCGAAATCCGTCGAATCCGTCGTTCGATCCGTTTACTGTAAGAACTGGAGCGCGTGCGTAAGCCTTTGCAATGCGACGGTTCTTTTCGAAAATGATCACTTTCGCCCAAATTTCGTCATCGATCTTGGACCACTTCTCCAGCACCTCTTGTATGTGCTCCTTGAAGAGGATCTCCTTGCGGTACCAAATGTCTTCTTCCTCGTGGGGCTGCTGGGAGCTGGAGGAAGGCTGGACATGGTCCTCCAGTCTGGACAACATATTCCTTCGAGACATCATCGTCTCAGCGGCAATGTGGAACGGCCTCAAGGTTAACAGAACAACACGACCATATTAGCAAGACTAACTAAGCAACTGGTCGTTTCACAAGGTGTGCGGGAGGAGAATTTTTACGAAACTGAGCGAAATTCTGGCGCCATATTGTCACGAAATCGAGCACAGCTGTGTCTTGATACACCAATGTAATTAGTTAAACACTAAAAGTACGTAGTTTTCGTGAAATCATACGATTATGTGTGTCATCGGTTCTTCGTACGTTTATTACTTATTAGAAAACGTATTAACGACGGACTGTGACTACGACAACACTGAAGGATAAAAATAGTACGAATAGACGAAAAACTTTCACGGCACGTTCGGAGCACTTTCTTTATTGCAGTAGCTAACAGCAACGGACACGAACAGGACTAACTAATAATAATGAGAGCTATTTGGAGAGAGAAACGAACGGCACCAGCTAAACTGAGCCAGCCAGCGACAAACGAGCTGAGAGTCAAGAGGGAGAGACCATGACGAAGGAGCTGTTGGTAAGCGACTGGTACACGGACGTTGGAACGAACGATGGTCTTTTGCAGCGCATACTAAAAGAGAATGACAGCTTTGCAATAAGTGAATGTCTACCTTGTTCTTACATAAGAACAGCTGGCTGGTTTAGTCTATTACCCATGGACGGGCCACGGCTGTTTACTATACCAGCTCCTTGTACCAACCACGCAACCGGATACTCTTGCCACAAAAATCTGGCCAATATTTCAACTTCTATCACTACAGACAAACATACAAACACTCACAGTAAGTGCTTACCAGGTTAGTCTAATCTTTAGTCGCGTGGTATTGAGACTTTTGTTGGTTTTGTCAAGAAATATCGAGCTGGATATGTACAAGACCTATTATTACGTCTAAGATTCGCAAATCTCCCAAGTCTTGTTCTTGGTCTCTTGGTACGAAATCGTAGATTTTGATTTGTCTCTGTTAATCATTCATCATCATCATCCTCATAAGGTCGTCAGTCCTAAGACTTATTGGACCCGCACCTCCACTCTTTCCTATCCTGAGCTAACCTTCGCATTTCCCTAAAACTAGAACAACCCACATCCTTAACAGTAATCTAATCTAGGTCTACCTCTACCCCTCCTAACTCCCGTTTCTGCCTCTAATATGTCTCTGACTAGACCTTCACGCCCGATAAGGTGAATCACCAACTTATCTCGTCTATTTCTTATTGACTTCCACAGAGTCCTCTGTTCTCCTATTCTTTCTAATATTTCTTCTTCTGTTAGTCATTATCACATTAAAAGTAACTCAATTATAAAAGACAAAGACCAAGCCTTTGTTGGTTAAGTCTTAGTCTCAAAAGTCTTGTAAGTCTTGCTCTTGGTCCTGCCTCAGTAGAAAATCGCAAATTTTCATTTCTCACTGTTAATTCCAAATAACAAATAATTTAATTACAAAAGACAAAGGCCAAGGCTTGATTAAGCCTTAGTGTCAAAAATCTCGCAAGTCTTGTTCTTGGTCTCGGCTCAGTACAAACAAAATCGCTAATTTTCATTTCTTCGTGTTAATTCCAAATAACAAATAATTCAATTACAAAAGACAAAGGCTATGACTTCATTAAGCCTTAGTCTCAAAAATCTCGTAAGCACTGTTCTTGATCTCCCTTTTGTCGTATGTAGAATTACGAAGTCGATATTTTCTTCTCTCATTGTATTTTTTTACCAAATTATAAACGATAATAAGGTACAAAAGACAAAGGCTAAAACAATGAGGACTAAGTTATAGTCTCACACATCCCGCAAGTGTTGTTCTTGATCTTTCTTAACCAGGTAGGAACCTTTTACCGTATCTGTACTGGATTACGAAATGGGAAATTTAATTTCCCATTGCTAATTATTACCAAATTATAAATAATAACCACAAAAGGCAATGACCATAATGATTAAGTCTCATAGCCTTGCAAGTCTCGTAGGTCTTGTTCTCACTTAAGTATTTTTTCTCACAGTTGAATTGTTCCCTATCTCTATAATTGACGAAATTGTTAGATAGTCCTGTTGTTACTTCATATATTTAATGGTCTAACAAGTCTTGTCCTTGGTCTTTGGTAAGTACATAGGTACCTTCTGTCGTGTCTTTTCTGGATTATGAATTTAAGAGAAGATTTAATTTCTCATTACCAAATCATAAATAATTATTGCAAAAGCCAAAGAGCAAGATAATAGCGGTTGAGACTTACAGTCTCGCAAGTTTGGTAAGTCTTGTTCTTGTTATTTGTTCAATTGTTACTCCACATATTCAACGGGGCGACGGAATTAGGTGAAAATAATTATCTCATTTGAAAAGAGAAATTGTTGGGAAAATTCGTACAATAAATGAATTAAAACAAAGCCAAGAACGAAAGCAACGGGCTAACGTCAGAGACGGCTTTGTACCTACCCAACTGTATACAAAGATACATACACTTATACTGTTTCAGCCTTGAAAAACATTTCACTTTCTTGTCTAAATTGCCACTGTTATATGTGTTTGTCACTGAATCTGTAACCTACATGTAGCAAAGCGAGTTTAATAAGAGAGACTGCTACAGAAACTGGCTTCATTTCTATTCCACGTATTATAGGGAAAAAAATAAGAAGGAAAAGCCGCAACATTGTTGTACACTGTACCAACTTTAGTGTAGATACTTATCCGCAAAAAGAGAATAATTCGTTATGCTCAGTGTGAGTATTTATTTGTTATTTATTAAATAAATCAGCAGATTAAAAGATGTGCAAAGATTAATTATCTTTAACGCCTTACTTCCTACTAAATTTGTCCTTTTCTTTTAAAATTCTCTTCCTTAATGACTGAGTACCCAGGTAATTGGCTTTTAAGTACGCAATGAGGTAAGACTGGACATAATGACTTAACTTTATGCCGTGAAAGTAAAATTAACTGTGTACACATGAAATTAAGTACTTACGTAGTTTAACAATGTAGAGTTATTGTACAAAATGTACAAAATCAGCTATTAAAGTCGACAAAGACGATGCACAAAAGCAAGAAACTATAGTCCGATGGGTTTCAGTGCTTTTTGATATTGAAATTACTACTTTAGTCGATTATAGGGGGTCAATCTCATGAAAAATAAGCACATAAAGGATAAATATTCGGTGATTGAATAATGTCGATGCGTTGAGTCCATTGATTCTACATTTAGGTTTTGTTACACAATGTTTTCTTGTCGTACGTTGTTAGTTTAATTAAGGGAAACTCTAAAATTTTACTTTATTCTTATTTACAACAATTAAATCGTTGAATTTGCTTCAATTTGCTTCAAAACAGTTCATTAAGTTTTAAAACCATAACCTTTTTTTTACTTATGCTATGAAGAATGCATTATTTAACAAAAACCGAATTGCGATTTTAGAATCTTCTGGCATGCTGTTTTTTACGTTTTAATTATTTATATGTTCGCGGCTACATAATTATATATATTGAACTTTTATGATGTTATTTAAAATTTGCAACGTAAGACTTCGTAGTGTAAAATATCTCGGGATAATAAGACTTAATAGCCTGTTAGTGTAAGGAATAGTTGTACACGTATGGACGTGTCAATAGAAGTTGCTAATGTGCCTTATAATTACACATTCGTAGGTACTCTAAAAAAGGTTTCCTTTCTGCCCGATCGTTGATCTCTTTTTTCGTACATTGGCGATCGAAAATTCGTTATTTATAGACTGGATCTTTATTACGGTGTTTACGTTTATTTACCGCCCCAATGACGTAATTGTATGTGTATCATGAATTTCCTGTTAACTGTCAATTTTATTGCGTCAATAAAACGATCGACAATGATTTAGTTTTACCGTAGTGTAACCCAAGAAAGCAACATTGTTCGTAGGTTGGCACTTGGTAGGTACTGGAAGGTATTGATAGCTTGTCGAATTCTATTTTTATGTAACCAGAACTTTGCACACTTGGAACAATGTAACAAACATTGTTACCACGGTAATCGTAAACCAAATGGCTTTTTATATTGTTCCTAAGCATCGCTTTCGTATTTTTTATTGAATTATCTTTACCATAAATGCTCACTGAAGTTCTGACTCTACAGTCGCTTTAATAAGTTGTGTTAAAACTGCTCGGATAATTTTTTTTGGAACGGTACGTAGCAGAGACCAATGTATTTAGAACGGCATATGACAGCTGTCAAATTTCTGAGGTTAGGTAAGCTTTACAATGCTTTGAGGTATTTTCGTATTATTGAGGGTGGTGGTTCTCTCTCTGCAGTAGGCGATGTTACCCTCTAACAGGAATACCCTATAAAGTCACTAGAACGTTTAGAAAATTTGATGTCTTATGTCTGTAGATGTTATGTTTTTGAGGCTAATGTTTTTACAACGATATATAGCACCTGTCAAATCGCTTAAGTAAAGGACGCGCTTTTGTTTCGTAAATTCCAATTGTACTTAATCTTTCTTTAATTGAAACATCAAGTAGAGCATTCAAACATCAGTAGATACTATAACAGAAAACATTTTTGTTTTTCTAATGACAAATCTGGGTGCAAACTCCTCTAAATTACGTGTATTTATTTAACAACGTGACTAAAATTCATCGTCAATATTGTGGTTTCCTTTCGTTATCGAACGTTGAACTCTCGACGCAGAGAGACATAAATTTAGTACCTCCATTCACACCCACAGTTGACGTTGTCTGTTGTTGATCTTCCATATTTTGCTAGGAACGTAAATTTAAATAACTACACATGTACTTATTTATTTAATCCTGGTAGGCAACGACACGGGTCGTTCATTAACTTAACTGTTTGCTGATTAGATTTAACGGGTATTACGTATCTATGTTCGTATTAGTCAGACGGATTTTCCATTGTTGAAGAGATCATGTATGCTTGGAATGAATCGACAAACATAAAAAGAAGATGTACTGCACTCTTGAGGACGCAATGTGATGTAGAACGCTTGACTAATCTGGATCAGAATTTCGCGAACTTTTTGTAGTATGTACAACACGCCAGTAATATCTACCGCTTTTTTGTCTCAATCGATTGACAGGTAAAAGTTTTTGCGGTGGTCAATATTTAGAATAATTTCGACCGCAGGGGTCACTGGTCTAATAATAAATAGTTTGCCCGATGCAGAAAGAGGTTCTTCGTGAAACCCGTTGCCAATTCCGCATCAGTATTAGGTGCGACTGATTTCATAGGTTTTTAAAATTTCTGTAAAATAACCCATTGACGTTAGCTGGGATTTATGATGATTTACAACTTCTTACTTATATCGAAAAGATATTTGGCAACTGCGAATTCGGTATGTCGCAAAAAGTTTCTATTCAATGATTTCAACATTAAAATTTTCTTGGTAAAATCAAGAACCACGAATTTCTAGAGATCTATAAAGCCTTTATAGAATCTTTGCTTCTTTGATCTTCTTTTTCGGACACTACTCTTTTTGTGACGGGTTAAATGAGCTTCAATATTTTCAATTTCAATTCGAAAGAATCCTGTTTAATTGTACATTATAATGATCTTGAATTATTACGTGTCTCGTAGTTTAAATTATTGTATTTCGAATGTATTTTTCAGAACAATT